GACCCTAGCTGTATTTTTAAGGCAGGGTACTTATCATCGAGACGCTTATCATCATTATCAGTTGATCGTGACCTTCTCTCAACCTTACGGTTGTGTATGTGCCAACCCTATGGTTGTGTATGTGTGTATGTACTCTGGAGGGGGGCCCACTGCTTTGTGGAATGTATCCGACCACTATGCGTGAAACGTGATTTCTGTTTTGTTTTTTTTTGTTTTTTTTTAAACAACGGCACAGCAAGTTTTGAGTTCGTAAAGGCAAAAACAAAAAACACAGCATAGAAATGAGGCGCCGACTTCGCATGACAATTTCGGTCGAAAAGTATCCGTTGGGCTTTTTTTTTCCATCTCACACCACGGCCAACCCCTGAAATATGACACCCAACCTGACACCATGGCCACTGTACTTTCATTGCCCTTTTCCAACTCACACCTAGTTTCTTTGCAGACGCATCTTTCTTTTGCCCCCTATAAAACTTAAACGTGACATGAACTTCCTTCCATCTTTTATTTTTTTCTTTTCGTTTCCCTTCGGTGCCCTGCCAGCGAGCCAGGGCGTATTCCACGCGGAGCAAGCAACTGCCTACCTCATACTCACACTAGTATTGTAGCGTCCTGTATCGGACCGCGATCACAGAATAAGGGATACTTTTTTTTTTTTTCTTCATCATACATACTCCCTCACTGATTGCACAGTCTCACAATCACCTCAAAGAATGTATGTGATGGCTATCGCGGCCTTAGGGAAGGATTTTTTTTTTTTCTTGTTCTTTTTTTTTTCTTTTATTTTTTTTTTCTTTTATTTTTTTAAGCCACTAGTACCTTTGCCGCTTCAAAAATGAGGGAAAACACCAACTCCCGAAGAATTCGGAGGCCGGGCCCGACGACGACTACTATTGATAAATCTAATCGGCGACCGTCGTTTCGTTTCGACCTCTTGAAAGGTTTTAGGCCCGCTATTTTCTGAAACGACAAACGTACTAGTGTTTAAACATATTCTCATATATTTCAAACAATCCAATGGACGAGGCCAGGGATCTTCACAATTCAACCCGGTGTTATCCCAACAACATCAACCGGTTTAGCTTACTCAACAAACTTTCCTTAATCCATCATAAATTTTGAAAACATATTTACCCTCTCTACATAAAATTGTGTTCCAAACTTGAATGCTGCCATTATCTAAACCCTTTTACCTTCTCTCACCTACTACTCCTACACCTAATGCACACACCTACTACACGGTTTGACCCCGACCCAAAAACGTCCGAGAGGAACTTTGTTCCTTTAAAAGATAAAAATTGGCACTCTCCTACCGTCCCTGACCCATTGGAGGTTACTGCACCTGCCCATTGGAACCGAGTGCACCTTGTTCATATCCCAAATTTTCCCTAACCTTCTTCTAACCCATAGTTATCCCTACCCCATTCACCTATTCACTATCCAACTACACAGCGACATTCCCTTCTAGTGTGACATGTGTCATTTGTTGACTGATGCACCAAGTGCGTTAAAACCGGGGCAAACCCACAATCTTTTACCTTTCCACCACTCTTTGAGACCAGTCCGCCTGAATAGCGGCCGCCAAGAGCAGTTTGAAAGTAGCACCCGCCTGCCTCTCCGTCATTCCTTACGCCCACTCACGGTTAACGACCACCAAAAATTTCAGAATGAAAGATTCTTAAGTGGTATGAAACCACCGAAATGGCCTGAAGACACTTCATGTTATTTCAGAAGTTTCGCAGAATAAGTTTTATGATTTTTTTTTTTTCTGCCTGTTTTTTCAGCCACTTCAGGTTATTTCAGGAATTTCAGGTGGGGACCTGAAACCGCTGAAGTGGCTGAAACTTCTAAATGGGGTTTCAGGTACCCCCATCCAAATGGTTGGATGAGGGTACCTGAAACCCCTTTCAGAAGTTTCAGCCACTTCATGCCATTTCAGGAATTTCAGGTGAGGACCTGAAACCGCCGAAGTGGCTGAAACCCTTTTCAGAAGCTTCAGCCACTTCAGATCATTTTAGGAATTTTAGGTCGGGACCTGAAACCGCTGAAGTGGTTGAAGCTTCTGAAAGGGGTTTCAGGTACCACCATCCAACCATTTGGATGGGGGTACCTGAAACCCCTTTAGAAGCTTCAACCACTTCATGTCATTTCAGGAATTTCAGGTGGGGACCTGAAACCGCTGAAGTGGCTGAAGCTTCTGAAAGGGGTTTCAGGTACCCCCATCCAACCATTTGGATG